ACATATATATATATATATATATATATATATATACACATATACATATAGTATATATTTAGAATTATTAAAAAATATTTGGCCAATATTGAGTCTTCTTTAAATTTTTGCATAGAATAAACGCAGTAAATTAATTCACGAGATTTTATTTAAAAGAAAGAATTTTATCGATGACTTGTATCTTATGTATCTTATTAGGAAAATAGAACTGAAGTGGTGCAGCAGTGTGATTGTTGGATCATTCGGCATTAAATGGAGGGAGCTTTCCTCAATCATTCGGCAAATCGACGATCGATCGATTATATTTGCGCGCAATTATAGCAACCTGCATTACACGAATGAGCCTCTACATACATTGTGCAGGATCTCTGTGTTAGGATCTTTTTAAAAATTCACCGCGGTAGCTATGAATTCCTCTTTGTATTGAGTTTACTGAGAACAAAAGTAGATGATAAAATGTTTGATAAATATTTAAAGAGGAGGAATTTCCTGCTTTACATCGCAGGACTGCCAAGTACATTGAACTTTTGATCACGCTCCCAATAAAAACTGATAAAGACAGTTTAGATCTGAAAATATTTTATATGCATTTAAATAATTCAAAAGTCGAAAATCTTTGACAAACTATCTCGATTAATATGATCATTGCGTGTAAAGATCAAATCTCGTTCGCTGTTTGTCCAATTTTAATTCTTCACTGAAAATTTAAATTGATCTGAATGTTTTTATCTTATTCCGATCGAAAATTTGTTACATTAATGTTATCAAAATTATTATACCATTAATAATTATATCATTATGTAAAAATGTATTAAAAACATTTTTTCGACTAAATTTTGTGAGAAATTTTAATAAGAATATTCTTTAGAGTCAATATATTGCATAATAGATCAATATAGCGTTGTTTTACCCTTGTCTCATTACCCTTATTACAAGCTATTAATTCACTAACTTTAATTGGGTTTCAGCACCGCCCGATTGTGAGATTGGCCAGATTACGTGTGGTCAATATAGTTTCAACAAAACATACTGTATTCCACCGCATCAACGATGTGATATGACTGTCGATTGCGTTGATGGCACTGACGAAGATGGCTGTAGTAAGTATAAATTGCAATTATTCTTGTCAATTTTTCTTTTATCATATTAAAGTCTGATATAAAAATTATAATTTTACCAAATATAACTTTTATATTATATGCTTAACTATTTATTTAAGACACGAAACGACGGTCAACGCTTTTCAAGCGTATGTCAAGTCCGTTCTTGTTCAAAATCATTCTTTGCCAAATGTGCTGATTTATGTGTAATTTTTTCGCTCGATTAATCAAAATATATCAATCAGTCTGTACCAATTGAAAATTAATTCATCGGTGTTTTAAAACACGAAATAAGATTCTTCAAATTGCAATATTTTGCATATAATTAATAATTTAACATATCCTCTCTCTCTCTCT